GAGTACAGTGGCACAATCTCAGCTCACTGCAACCTCCACCTCCTGGGCTCCAGCGACCCTCCAACCTCAGCCTCTCAACTCGCTGGGATTACAGACCCGTGCCACCATGCCCAGCTAATTTTTTAAATTTTTTGTAAAGATGGGGTGTCGCTCTGTGGCCCAGGCTGGTCTCAAATTCCTGAGCTCAAGCAATCTTCCTACCTTGGCCTCCTGAAGTGCTGGGATTATAGGTGTGAGCCAGCATGCTCAGCCTTATACATGCCTTTCTATAAGCATAATTTTCCTCTTAGTAGTCTTGTAAACTTTTTGGAAAACTATTTTTCCCCTTTTAGCTGACCCACAGTGGAAGGGATTTTCCCTACCTCAGGCTGGGGAAGGAATCTGGTACTAACCCAGTGGCCATCATGGAAATGGCAGCATCTGACTTGGATCAGGACCCAGGAGATCTGATGGAGCCAGACGAAGATTTTTTTTTTTTTTTTTAAGGAAGCTGAGCATCCAGGAGAGAAAAAGAGACAGGGAAAGAAAGATAGTAACAACCACTGGATAATTCTCCTGCAGATGCCCTCTCATTAAAACATTTCCATTCATATGGTAGACATTGCACCCCTCTTTTTCATTGTCTGGCAACTGAATCAACTTTAAATGACTGATCTTTGAGGAGGAGGAGGAGAGAGAACACAACAGAATTTCCATATCCAAACTGTCTTTTTCCTTTTCTTACACTCAAATGCAAAAGAGGTATCTGTTCCCCAAATTAACTACAATAGGCAAGGTTTAGAAGAATGTTTAACCAACTTTTTGTTCGTTACTTGTCAGCTTTGGACATTAACAACTCTGATATTCAGGGAAACAACCATCTGGAAAGTAAATAAACAGACCAGTTTTATAGCTCGTGGAACACTTTCATTCATTTTTTTTCATTTGTTCCACAGAATTCTGTTGAGCACCACTCCGAGCCAGGATGGTGCTAGGTGCCTGGGCATAAAATACTTGACTCGAAAAGAGAAAAAACCCTGGTCCTTATTAAGTTTTTATTAGTCAAACTCAGGCAAGACTGCAGAAGTAAATATTAAAGTTAAACATGATTGTTCAAAGAGATCAAACTGGTTATGAGGGTCTATTTCAACAGCTTTTTAAAAAAATGGGACTATGCAGTCTAATAAGATAGCGGAGCCGATATTCAATCGCAGATTCCACAGTAAGTATCCTGTAATCACCACTCTCTCGATTGAATAAACCAAAACAACGACATTTGCTGAGGAGAGTAGAACCCGTATCAGTAAAATGCATAAATTTTGTCATGGGTCATTCATTCCTTTTTTATTTTTATTGAGTTTTGTAAGGAATTAGATGTTTTCTGGGGGATGGGGGGTCTTTTATTTTCTTTTTATTTTTTTTTTCTTTTTATATTTTTGTTTTTGAGACGGTAGTCTTGCTTCTGTCCCGCCAGGCTTGGAGTACGTGGTGCGAATCTCGGCTCAACTGTTAAGCTCCACTCAGGTTCACCACATTCGTCCCTGCCTCGAGCTCTCCTGAGTAGCTGGGGACTACAGGCGGCCCGCACCACGCCGGCTATTTTTTGTATTTTTGTAAGATGGGTTTCCACTGTTCTTTAGCAGGATGGGTCTTCATCTCCTGACCTCGGTGATCCACCCGCCTTGGCCTCCAAGTGGTTGAGATTACAGGCTGTGAGCACCCGTGCTCCGGTGAACTGGGGATTTTCTTAAAGGGAGCATGCCCGAGTCATGGAAGCCAAGTCAAATAAATGACAAAGCATAAGCTGTGAGGCCTTGCCCATACAGGTTGAAGCCACTATAATTTCTGCATAAAGAGAGAACCACCAGTGTATGTTCAATAGTTAAAACAAAGCAATTATATCCATACATGATGAAATTCAGGCTATCCTTTAATTCTTTCCTAAGTTGAACTTGTCAGTTATTGATTGTGGCTTAAAATCAGTGGCTATTCTTCGACGTAGCTGGCCTACAGGACTTAGCTAAACCACCAATCAGGAATAATTTGAGATTAGTTAAAGAGAGAAAAGCAGTAAGACTTGTGGAACTGATGGTGCTTGGAGGTTACCGTGATTCAACTTTTCCCTTAGCTGGCAACAAACACACAACACACACACACACCACACACACACACATACACAGAGAGCCGACGACCGACCGCATACGCGCGCACACGAACCACGCAAGCACACATCAGTCCAGACAAAATCCATGTTTCTTTGATACATAATGTCTTTCGAGACAAAGTGATAAGCGACCAAGACTATTCTGCCAGATCCCTTTCTCTTCTCTCATTTCTCCTGACCAAGGCAAGCGTTCAATCTTTGAGACTTCTTGCCTCCTAAGAGGTGACTTCTGTACTGGCTTACTCCTAAACACTGCTAAGAAATTGTAAAGCTTGTTTGGACATTTTCCCTCCTCTGCTCAAAAATTTCATGTCTCTATTACTTGGGAAATAACAAAATAATTATCCCAGCATCCAAGGCCCTCATCATACTGATCCTGTCTATTTTCCTCTCATATTTCCTCTTTATGTAACCTTAATCAGTAGCCAGCTACTCACCCTTCTTGTGTACGATTCCCTGAGGCTTTTTGCTCTTTCTCTTTGCTCCTGCTGGTCCTTCTCTCCTGCACCTTGGGTATCCAAATCAAATCTCATTCAAGTCCCAACTCAAATGCTAATAAAACTTTTTTGGAGCTCTGTCAACTAGGAGTCACCATCTCTCTGTTTTTCTCTTCCATATTTTATCATAATCATGGACAGTTAATCTCTTCCCATTAGACTGTAAGCTTCTTAGGGGAAAGAACATGCTTGATTTCTCTCTTCACTGCCACCATAGTACCTTGCCCTTAAATATTTGATAGACTAGTAAATTAATGAATATATTAAGAATAATGCATCTTTTTAAAGTGTGTGGTTTTAAAATCTACCAATGATGCTAGTTACACTTTTTGTTTTTAACGAGGAAAAAACATAATGACTATAGAAATATGTCATTAAAATTAAAAATAATTTTCCTTTTAAAAAATTATTTCACTTATAATACAGATGCAGAACTGCCTGAAAACTTTCCCTCTAATCTCTATCCTAAAATATTGGTTTTAAAAGTCTTTAAATTTGCTTTGGTTAATAATAAGACGATAATACTTTAGAAAGAAATGATCTTGAGAAGTCATCTCATTGATTCTCCACTCCCAACCCATATATGAAATCTCTCGGGAAAATAAGAACTCATCCTATCTTAAGGATCTTCTAAGATAAATTGCACAGAATTCCTGGTAATTCATCTCAATGTCTCTTGAGCTTCCCTGTCACAGTGTTACTCCACAATAAGTTAAACACTGACTAACTTGTGCTATTATCTCAACTCTTGAGAGTTAGTATAGCATAGTGGTTAAGACACAAAACTTCTTTTTTTTGAGACTGAGTCTCACTCTGTTGCCCAGGCTGGAGTGCGGTGGTGTGATCTTGACTCACTGCAACCTCCATCTCCTGGGTTCAAGCAATTCTTCTGCCTCAGCCTCCTGAGTAACTGGGATTACAGTGCTACCACGCCCAGCTAATTTTTTATATTTTTAGTAGAGATGGGGTTTCACTGTGTTGGCCAGGCTGGTATTGAACTCCTGATCTCAAGTGATTTACCCACCTCTGACTCCCAAAGTTCTGAGATTATAGGCATGAGCCACTGCGCCCATCTGACACAAAGCTTCTGAAATCAGACTTCCTCTCTGTCATTGGGAAAGTTATTTAACCTTTCTTTGTCTCAGCTTTTTCATCTGCAAAATGGGAATGATAATAGTATTTATTCATAGAATATTTGAGAAGATTAGATGAAATCATATATGTATTTAGAAAAGTGTCTGAAACCGACCATGTGTGGTGGCTCATGCCTTTAATCCTAACACTTTGGGAGGCCGAGGTAGGTGGATCACTTGAGGCCAGGAGTCCAAGACCAGCCTGGCCAACATGGTGAAACCCTGTCTCTACTAAAAATATAAAAATCAGCTGGGTGTGATGGCGTGCACCTGTAGTCCCAGCTACTTGGGAAGCTGAGGCACAAAAAAATCACTTGAACCCAGGAAGGAGAAATTTCCGTTGTCAATTCAGCAAAGTAAGCAAAAACCTAACCCCTTTTAGCCGCACTAAGATCGATAGGGCCGCAAAAGGAAGACTTGTAAAGATTCGGAAAATTCAAATTCTGATTTTTAAAACTGCCAAAGGACTGGGATTCCTTCACCAAAAAAAAAAAAAAAGATTATTTATTAAAATCTTCAGTAATGTAGACTAAGTATCCAGGCCTATTTTATATCTGTATCAAAATAAAATTAAAAGAACATCTTAATAGTAACCCAATTTATATCGGTCATTTACAGGTTTCAGCCACTTTTCTTTTCTTTCTTCTCCTTTCTTTTCTTTCTTTTCTTTTTTTTTTTTTTAAGACCCAGAGTCCTTGGCTCTTTGCCGCAGGAAAAAAACCGAGTGTAGTCAGTGTGACCGCTGAGCTCCACTGCAGCCTCTGTTTCCCAGGTTCAAGCAATTCTGTGCCTCAGCCCCCCGAGTAGCTGGGATTAACCGGTATGGTACGAACAAAAACCCAACAAACCCAGGCTAATTTGGTATGTTTTTAGTAAGAGACAGGGTTTCTCCCATGTTTCCCA